CACACACACACACACACACACACACACACACACACACACACACACACATATATATATATATATATAATTTAATCGATACCAATATGTATGTTTTTGTCAAGTTCACAGACTGCCAAGTCAATTTCAGTTGAATTCGCAATGAGTTTAACCGTCTGGATCGCATGATTCCTTTTTTTATAATCTAACGAAGGAAACCGCAGAGTTCGTTTAGATTGGTTTGCTTCATACGTATTCATGCGCGACGCAACACGGCACATTCCGCTCAATAATAGAAAATCAGCGGCGTCAAAATCTGCATACTCTGCATGCTCTGCTCTGCATACTCTGCATACTCTGCATACTCTGCATACTCTGCATGCAAAATCTGCATATACGGGGTTTTTCGTATCGAGAAAAATGGAAAATACAAGCTGCTGAGCAATGGAAGAACGGGGGCAAACTAAATTCACTTTAAACCTGAAAAACTAGCTTCGTGCTTATTTTCTTCCTCAAAGAGAGTAAATTGCAATCAGCAATCAATCAATCTCAATATCTCAATATCTCAATCAGCAGTAGCATCTGTTGTTGATGTCGTTTGCTAAGCATGTTGACGCGCATATCGATTAAATGACAAATTGGATGATAGCTATATAAATTATATTTAAACGAAATTTGAAAAAAAAAAGAAAGATTGGTAGTAATCTCCAAACGCAGAAATCACAGGAATGCCAAAATTTTACGACAAATGCTAGCGCCCTACCTCATTAGTTCTCCCTATATACCTTATCCCTAAAAAAACAATAATAAAAACCCTAATACCTTGTTCCCTATAATCCCTTAAATGAGAAGAAAAATATTTTTCAAAAAGAATAAATTTACCTGTGGTAGACTACAGATGGCGCTGAGCAGCCAAGCGAAGCCAATCATGATCTTTCCTCGGACGCCGGCTGTGCTGACGCTCATCGGATGCACGACGGCAAAGTACCTGTCCAGGCTGATCGCAATCAACACGTTCGACGACAGATACAGGCCGAAATTTCGCCAGAACGACATGAAGCGGCACATGAAGTCGCCCGCGTTCCACGTGATCGTGATCGTCCAGGCGACCTCTAGCGGTATGAGGACGAAGGCGTTGATGAGGTCGGCGATGGCGAGCTGCATGATGAGGCGGTTGAGCTTCGAGTGGCCGCGACTCCTGACGAGCGACACGAGCAGCGCGACGTTGCCGACGCCAGCGACAACGAACAGCATCGCGTAGATGGCCACCGACAGCAGCCGCTCCTCCGTGAACGCCATGTTGGGCAGGCGCGGCCCGCCGCCGCCCATGCCGCACTCGGCGAGACTAGACGCGTTGCCGTCGCTGACGTTACACAGCAGCTGAACGATGTCCGTCGGCGCCCACAGCGTTGAGCCGACGTCGTAGTCGTCGTTGTCGGCGGTGGCGGTGCTGTCGAAGACGTCGTAGCTGTTGTTTTCCCAGTCCCACTGTTTCCCAGCGAGCGGAAGCGCGAGCGTCGTCGTAACGTCACCGGGCGCCATGTTGCCGTTATGTGACTGGGGCATAGTCATATGATGGGGACGTAGGGTGTTGCTTGACGCCGCTTCTTAGCGCCGATTCACAAGTCCAAGGTCCCTAATAAATTATGAAAAAATGTATTCGTTAACACATAAACGCAAGTTAAACCTTCTACTGCAAAAGGGTGAATCTAACCCGGCACTATAAATTACTTGCTAAGTTCTGTTGTTAAAACATGCTGTAATGTAAAACACACTGTTTTGTAAAATAGTTTGTTATAAACCATCGTGTTCTCCGTTATAAAATATTATATCTTTTATAAAATAATCAAAATCTATCAAAATAAATCGTGTACATCATACGATAATTGTTATTTATAATGCTCTGTATTATAATATATTTATATATCTCTTCGTTTGATAAAATAATTCATGGTTACTTCCGTAATTGCATATAACTTTTAAATAATTAATAACCATTAATAGAATCTTTTAAAATCCTCTGCGTCACAGAGCTTGGATTATAAAATAATTAAAATATCGACAATATCGGACAGTGTGAAAACCTCTTATTAAAATAATATCCTTTACTAATGAATACATCTCCATTCAAGACATTGTCTACATGGTGGGTGATCCAACGGTGAATCGCTCAGTAGGCGATCAGGGACTTGGCCGTCATGCATCTGTACATTTCCGTCGTGCCATTGTTAGAATGTAATACTAAACTATATATATATATATATATATATTGTATCGTAATTTACCACCTTCGTAAAAATACCACTAATTAGAGGTGAAGTCGACCGCCTTTTCATCTTCTAGCCACGCTGAGTTTTCCACTGTTCCCATCGGATAACGAAAATTTGCTTACCGATGAAATTTGTCTTCAAAAGGCAATCATATTCAGGTTTGCCCGCTTACCCATCAGGGAATACCTCTTGACCTACTATGTATATGTTTCGTAAAAGGTCAGAGCGAAGAGCCATATAGGAATCGAATGGTTGATCACGTTCTCTATTATTGATCTCACGAAGCGAGTAATTGCATACCGGACATCCATGCATGCTTAATCTATCACTTACCGTGGATTATCGACTGGCTTTAGTGGCATTACGGCACAATCATCCTCTATAACGTCACCACGCACACACAAGAAATACCGACAGCCAGCCAGTTAGACAGACAGACAGACAGACAGACAGACAGACAGACAGACAGACAGACAGACAGACAGACAGACAGACAGACAGACAGACAGACAGACAGACAGACAGACAAACAGACAAACACACGCACGCACGCACGCACGAATACGCATACACACACACACACACACACACACACACACACACACACACACACACACACACACAAACACGCACACGCGCACACGCACGCACACGCACACGCACGCACACAAGCACACACGCAGGCACACACAGGCGTGCGCCGAGAATTTACCTCCGTCGCTCTCCGGACACTTCAAAGCTCGGAGACACTTAGTGAGGTCCGCAGCTGGCAGAAATGCGCAAAAGGTTGTCACTCGGTGTTCACCGGGGGTAAGGAGCGTGGCGCGCGTGGATGCGTGCTTTCGAGCGCAGTTGCAGACGCTTCGATGACGTTGCCTCCCGCGCTCGACACGCAGACTGAGAGGCGACTGCGCGTGCATAGCTCTCTGCCAGCAGACGCCCTGTGATCGCAGCGCTTACCGCATCGGCCGCAAGGCGTCACTGCTGTTGCTACTGCTGCTGCGCGCTCTCATCATCATCGCGTCCCTCTCTCACACACACACGCACAAAGAGGGGGGAGATAGAGGGAGGAGTTATGTACTATGGGGACTCGCTAGGAGAAAGCGATCCATGGGGCACCCACGCACAGCTGCTGTCGGATTGGGTGACAGAAGAGACGACGGTGCCCGTGCTGCATATTCGATGCGCGTGTACACGTGCGTACGTACGTGCCAGCGTGCGCGTGTGTGGGTGAGAGAGCGAGCGAGGGCGATGTGAGAGGGTCGTTAAAGGCATATTCGCGCGCGAGAAACTTGCGTGCTATTTAACCTTAGCGGGTGAAACGACGTTCTTTTACCGTCGGCTGTGCGTTTTTGCCGGTTTTTGTCAGTCGTGATTTCCTTCTGCAAATTAGCGCTGTAACGTAAAACGGCGCAGCTATAGTACAAATGAGCTCATGTAATGGTGCAGAATTACGTCTTTCGTCTGTCCATCCCTTCGTCTGTCCTTTCCTCCGTCCTTTCGTCTGACCTTCCCTCCGTCCTCTCGTCCGTCCGTCCGTCCGTCTGTCAATGGGGAGTTAACAATAGTGCTGCAAATCTTAGCGACCTGACGTACGTTGCTAATATTCGAGACGTAGGGGCAAAGGGGACCATCCGAAACGACACTAGAACGTCGAATCTGGAGTCAATTGTCAACAGTTGGGAGGTGGTAAGGAAAGTGGAATGCTCCCCTTAACCACGAGTGTGTGACCACCATTAAAAAAACGCACGATAGCGGCACAAATCTAGGCGGCCTTACTTGTGCTTTAGATATTCGGTATACAATGATTAAAGGGCGGTTGAGAAAAAAAAAATCTGACATTTTTAAAGGACATAGACCGGCCCCTGACCCTACCGTACCCTAACCGTAACCTTAACCGTAACCCTGACCTTGACCCTGACCCTGACCCTGACCCCAACCCTAACCCTAGCCCTAACCCTAACACTAACCGTAATCCTAACCTTAAGCCTAAAGCCTGCCGCACACGCTGTGTTTTGTGCTGCGCCATCGGCCACGCGTGGCTGATGGCGCAGCACAAAACACAGCGGTGCGCGTGCAAACACGGCGATTTCTTGCGTGTGGAAAATATCACACGTGTTTGATATTTTCTTCCACGTGTGGCAGATTCCACAGCGTGTGCGGGGTCGCTGTGTCAAGTTCCACATTGGTCGGTTACATAGAGCCGGTGTGCGTGTATCTCCGTGTACCCGCGTGCACGTGCGTGCACGTGCGCGTACCCGCGTGTACCTGCGTGTACGCGCGTGTACCCGCGTGTACGTGCGTGTACGTGCGTGTACCCGCGTGTACGTGCGTGTACCCGCGTGTACGTGCGTGTATCTGCGTGTACCTGCGTGTACCGCAGTGCAACCGCGCTGCAGCCGCAAGTTAAGATCACGTGACACGCTTGACCTGCTACTTCTGTGTGTACGTGCGTGTATCTGCGTGTACGCGCGTGTACCCGCGTGTACGTGCGTGTACCCGCGTGTACTGTACCCGCGTGTACGTGCGTGTACGCACGTACACGCGGGTACACGCACGTACACGCGGGTACACGGAGATACACGCACGTACACGCGGGTACACGCACGTACACGCGGGTACACTCACGTACACGCAGATACACGCACGTACACGCGGGTACACGCGGATACACGCACGTACACGCGGGTACACGCACGTACACACAGATACACGCACTACACGCGGGTACACGCACGTGCACGTGCGTGTA